GTGTACACGTTTTAGAGAAAACTGTGTGGGCAACGTACAATGTAGTTTATGTACACCCTAGCATGGTTTGGTGGGTGTGGATATCAAAGTTCTTTGGTGTAGAAGTTGATGAGTGGTATTGTACGTGGATGAGCAGTGTACGTGAATAAAGCAATAAATGTGTACACATTGCAAAACATGTAGAGTAATTTTAAAGCCAAACATGTAAGATCTGTGCACCATAAAAGACCTTAATTTATATGAATACTGTCAAACATGTACACTGGATTGAAAAGTGTACACCCTTAAAGTTCAGTGTCTACATGTGTACACATTGGATAGTGTACAGAACCACATAGTGTGTTTGATAGAATGATTGTACATACTAACTTCCAGTTTAATGACGAGTAACTGCGGTGGATTCTGTTTTTTGTAAACCAAGAGATGTACATGTGTTGTGGTGTGTACACAAACCGTTATCCCCAATAGACTGTAGTTTCATTGTATCCACATAGACAAAACCCACATGGATCGGTGTACACACTATAAGGAGCGAGTGTCGACAGAATTCTGCGATGAATTCTTCTATTTGTAAACGAAGAGATGCACATGTGTTCTGGCGTGTACACAACCATTATTATGCTGATAGACTCTCCAGTCTTGTTGTATCCACATGGACACATATGACATAGATCGGTGTGCGCAGTATATGGAGCGAGTGTCCATGGAGTATCTCTGCGATGGATACTTCAATTTTATCGAGTGTCTAAAGAAGTGTCCCTGCGATGGATATGCTTCAATGTTAATATCTGTGTACTATACATAATCTGCACGTGTACAGTAGAAGTCCCGTATTTCGTAGTATCAAGGAAAAAGCCTTTTTTTATGTGAACACCGTAGTAGGTGCAGCTGGGTTTCTTATAAAAATGTATAGTGTCCATTGTAGAGCTTGACATGTTAAACAGGGCTTGATGTTGTACAGGTGGCTATTAAGTACTGTACAGGAAAAACACATGTACAACTGTTGGTTTACAATGTATTCTGTTGGTTTACAATGGAAGTATCAATTGCAGAAAAAACTACAATAGATACTTACTCTCGATGGATACTTACATTCAAGTCCATCCACACCGTATACCTACCCCCCGGGAACCACCAGATGTACATGTGCTTTTCCTGGACAGTACTTAGTGTCCATAGGTCCAGTACTTCTTAGAGTGTCAACCTGTGAAACCTGTGTACACCACTTAACCATTTTTCCAGCTTAACTCCTTCCCACATGGAGGTTGCTAGGTCTATGATGTACAAAGCATCTAATGGACCATTCTTCCTTAGTTCCAGCTCTCCTATCCAGCCCTCAAGAATGTAAACCTCAATTTTAAGCTTATGGTACGCGTGCACACCGATGCCACAAAACATTTGTATATGTCTCTATCATGTACACCACTTAGTATCCACGTGTACACCAAACTGTGTAGAGTGAAGCCACAAACATCTGTACATGTCTCTATCATGTACACCACATAGTATCCATGTGTACGCTGACACTGTGTACATCTGTAAAAATAGACGTACATGTTTCCATAGCCTTACATGTTCTTCTTTGTACACTATATATTATCCACTCATCCACGAGTATACCATAAACCCTCAGAGATGTGTACACCCAATGTGCACACCTTCTTGAAAATGTGTACACCTTCTTGAAAATGTGTACATCTGTACATGTCTCTATCATGTACACCACTTAGTATCCATGTGTACACTAAACTGTGTACACGTGGATACGTTTTTGCCCACTAAGTAAACACTTGTACATCTGTGCGTCTTCCATGGTCGTATAGTGTACAAGGAAGAACATGTAAAGCTATGGAAACATGTAGGTCTATTGGTATATAATGGGACTACATGTTTGATGGTGTACATTTCGGTGTACATGATAAAGACATGTACATATGTTTGTGGTTTCGGTGTGCACGTTTGGGAATAATCCCAAAATTTTAAGTCGGTGTTGAATGGTGTATAAAAGAAAGCATGTTGATCTGTTGGTGTGCAATGGTGTACACGCGTCTATGCGGTACGTGTCCATGCGGATCATTTAAGAAGATGTGAATGTTTCATAGTTGTGAATAAATATAGATTTCCATGTTGCTGATCATTTAAAAAGGTGAATGATTGGTGTAGATGTAAACCGAGGTAAAATTATGTATATGTGGCTATTCATTGGTTGGTGTCCATGTGGACAAAAGATTTATTGTACACATAGCATATATAATAATGAGACGTTATTAGTTATGACTATAAATGAGCAATAATGTACATGATGAATTAGTGAACGTGTACATTGTACAATGGCTAATGTGAGAAACTAGAAAATGATAAACGTGTACATGAAGAAGTATGGTAGTGTACATACAAACAGGCATGTAATTGTCAGAGTACATGAAATTGTTCTCCAAGTTAATCAAAGACATCGCGGGGAAAACCGATACAATCCTTGGCATCTTATTTTCATCTGTTGCAAATTTTCACAGGAAATCGCAGAATTTTCATTCGCCAGGTATAACCATGCAATAATCTTCCATGGGAAACATGTAAATCATTACAATAATTCTAATATTATGTACTAAGCTATTTAGATTATAACTTAAATAAAACAAACCTGAATTGGGAAAGCCTGATAAATAGATTAAGGGTGGTTAATGCTCTTGGAATTACTGAGTGATAAATTAAGGTTTGATTGTTTCTGTGACTATGGGAAAAAAAGGTTGATGAAGATAAAAATAATGAAGATAAAACTTGTAATCTGGATCATTAAAATTCATAGTATAAAATTAAATCCAATGGATAAGAAGAGAGACAGATATAAGTCTTGTTAAGTGGGCAGCTTTAATCTAAACCACTGATAAGGAAGAGAAATGTGTGGTTCTGGTTTGTTCCCGCTAATACACAATTTTGTTTGATTTTTTTAGTCAACGATATAGTTAAGGAAGAAGAGAAAAGTAACTAGTTTTTAGAAAAAGAAGAGAACTGTTAGCAAAAAAGTGTCTGAGTAGTCTAATGTGTCCTATAGTGTTAATAGAAACATAATAACTGCCCCTGAATGTAATATTTTCTTATATATATAAACAATACGAGACATTGAATCCCGGGATTGTTCATCGCCGGGCTATTGTAATCTGTTTCACGTTGTAATAGAACTACCAGTGTTTAAAAAAAAAAAAAAAACAAAACGAGACAATTATGCAAACTTCAAAAACAGCTACCACTTGGTTAGTTATATATATATATATATATAAAATTGAAATGATAATAACTATATATTGCACAATATAATTTAAAAGAGTATAAATATTAACAACTATTGAAAAGTTTATAATGGTTTGAAGAAAAAAACTGATGTGACAAATGTAATGTTGAAAATTATCAACAACCTTAAAAAACAAAAATAAATCATTTTTATATGATGTAGCAAATTTTGATTGCACCAAAATATTAAGTTTATCTCTCAAATTTTAATTATAACACAAATAGATAGACGAAAACAATTGTAAAAAACTGATTTCCATCTCAATTATTTAATATTAATTATTTCATAATAGTTCTAATTATATATATATATATATATTTTATATTAAAATACATCATTTTCATAATCTGTAAATAGATATTTGTTTCATTTTATTTGGACACAGAAATAAAATACATTTTTACTAAATTTTTGTTATTAGCTCCCATTTTTTTTTTGTTTTATCACTAAACATTCTTTAATGAAATGGATCCCAATAATAATTATTTTAATCCAAGTTTTTTTCTAGTATTTATTTATAATATGTAATCACAAAGGCATATAATAAATGTGTGAATACAATTGGTGGAACATAGTGTCGTAATTTTTTAAACAAAATTATTGAAGAAAATAAAAATTGAATGAGGGTTAAATTATGATATGGAAAAAAAAAAGAAGAACATGATATATAAGAGAGATGATGATGTATATTGAAAATATATTATCCTAAACATGTAACCAATGCACATACTCTAAAATATAATGATTATTATCTAATTGTTATGAAAGAAGCTCTAATACTGTATTACTTATTTAATTGGTACTAAATGATATTTCGGCTTCAAATAAATGAGTAGGTGAGTCACACCAACTATCACCACCGTGTCAAAACCTTATCCAGTAGCTCATATACAGCTGGACACCTCCTTGTCGCACGTGTCAACCCATAAAAACCCTAAATCCCCAAATATTTACGAAAAAACAAACTTTCCTCTTTCTTCTCTTCCTATTGGACTTCGACAGAGCAGATCGAAGAATCTCTAATCCTATTTTTTCCTTCTCCGTTCTTTGCTTCCCCGACAGATTCAACGAAGCTGTAAGAGAACCCTAGAAACAAAAATTTGAATTTATCATCTACGGAGCTGCAACCTGAGTTTTGGTTTCTGTCTGATCTGTCTGAGATAAAGAAAGGACGTGTCTTTGCATCGTTGTCTCAACTTTCTCTAAAATTTAGGTAGAATCCTAGCTGGACTTCCACATCGGTCTGTTTTTTTGTTTTCCTTTTCTCTCTCTCTATGCAAACGCTTTTGCATGTATACTCTGTGTTGTTGAACTTTGATTGAATTCGTTAATATAATTAAGTAATTAGATGTTGTGTAGGAGAAATTCATGCATAGTTCATGTAGTTTAAGTATTGGTGGTTTTGTTTCTGATGTAACATATGCTTCATGTACTTTGAGTTGTGGGTGAGTAAATCCTCTGTTTCAAAACCTCTGTCTTGACAGATTCTTGCTTCCTTTGTAGCATGGAGATTTTGGATTTCGAGAAAAGGGTGTACGTTGTCTTTGCCTTGTTTATAATATCGGTTTTGGGTTTGCTCCTCTTGGGTTTTTGTGTCTGTAGTGTGTAGTCATGTTCCTATATTGGAACAGAAGCTTTATCCTTTTGAGTTGTGAATCCTCTGTTTCAAAATCCTTGTCTTGACAGATTCGTACTTCCTTCTTTGTAGCTAATGGGAACGAGCGAGGAAAAGACGCCATTTAAGGCTTCCAAACCAGCATCCTCGTCACAGGTTGATCATTCTCTTTTTCATGTCTCTAACAATTTCATAGATACAGAAAGAAACTATAAAGTTGGGTTACAATTTTTCATTAATTTACTTGTATTTGATGGAAAGTACCTCTTGTTTGCAGGACATTCCTCCCACTCCGTATTCAGACTGGTCAAACTCAGTGCAGGTTCGTATGTAATGCACAGCTTTAGCTACTTGTTTTTTAGTTTTCGAGACTGCAGAACCTAACAATGTACTCATATCTTTAGGCTTATTATGGCGGAGGAGGTACTCCAAGTCCGTTTTTCCCATCCCCAGTTGGATCTCCTAGTCCTCACCCTTACATGTGGGGTGCTCAAGTAAGCTTCCTAGAGAAAACAAGTTTTTATCTTTGTGTTCTGATGACACTTACACGAGTTTTATTCATTCTTGTTCAATACTTTCCAGCACCATATGATACCGCCTTATGGGACCCCAGTTCCGTACCCAGCGATGTATCCCCCAGGGACAGTCTATGCCCATCCTGGCATGCCCATGGTACTAATCTCCATACTATTAACACCATTCTACTTATCATTTATAGCTTCTGTGTTTATAGCTTCTGTTACACGGAAAAGATACTCGCATAGACTAATTATAACTTGCTTGACACCCTTCTGTTGTAGCCTCAGGCTTCAGGTCCAACCAACACGGAGACCGTCAAAGATAAAGCCCCTGGCAAGAAGTCAAAGGGGAACATGAAAAGAAAAGGTGGAGGAGGTGAGAAGGCGCCTTCTGGTTCAGGGAACGATGCTGTATCTCAAAGGTAATACCTAAGACGCTCTATTCAATGTGTTACTTATTGTAATTGGTCTTCTCTGTATTAGAATTATTGTAATTATGATTGTGCAGTGACGAAAGTGTCACAGGTGGTTCATCTGATGAGAACGATGACAATGCCAACCACCAGGTATTGATATGAGTCTGACGTGTGTTCGTTTGCTTCAATGCTCTTTGTGATGTTAAACTGAGTTTCATGTTAATGTAGGAGCAAGGTTCAGTTAGAAAGCCGAGCTTCGGACAGATGATGGCTGATGGTAAGTTTTCACCGCCACAAGCTTGTGGTTCTCCCTGCCTTGTGTTCTCGATGTTTCTCTTGACGTGTTATAGTTTCTGTAAAACAGCAAGTTCTCAGAGTAATACTACTGGTGAGATCCAAGGTTCCATGCCCATGAAGCCAGTGACCCCGGGGACCAATCTTAACATGGGGATGGACTTATGGTCTTCTCAGCCTGGCGTAGCTGTGAAGGTCAGAGCAAATCATCATTCATCTTATCTTCACTTGCAAAATAGCTTCTTTGGTTATAAACTCATGTGTTTACTGCTCAGCAGGATGAAAGAGAGCTCAAGAGGCAGAAAAGGAAACAGTCTAACCGTGAATCCGCTAGGCGGTCAAGATTGCGGAAGCAGGTAATCTTATTATTATTATCTCTGTGTTAGTATCATTATACTATACTTGCTTCTGATGTAAACCTCACTACATTAATCACCGTTTTGAATAGGCGGAATGCGAGCAGCTTCAACAGAGAGTAGAGAGTTTGACGAGTGAGAATCAAAGCCTTAGAGATGAGTTACAGAGACTCTCTGGCGAATGTGAGAAGCTCAAGACTGAGAACAACTCTATTCAAGATGAGTTGGTAAGAGTGCATGGACCAGAGGCCGTAGCTAGTCTAGAACAGAATGCTGCTGCGTCTAAAGATGGCGAAGGAACACATTAACACTTAAGGAAACATGTAACTTTATAAAGGATTATTGGGAGTTTCAACAAAGGACAAAAACTTATTCGAGATTTACGTGACCAAACAATCGTTTTGACATTTATGTGTAATAGTGTGATTCAACATAAGGCTGTAATGACTACACTTGTTTGATTTTACTAGTCTTCATGATCAGATTCAGATTCTGAATCATGGATTGTTGCCGTTGATAGTTCTGGTTCGGGACGACTGTTTGAGATTTCTCCTTGTTGTTGGCTTGGTGGTGCAACTTCATTGGCTGTTGAAACCACAAGCATAATAACATTATATACAGTAACAAAGTTGTAACTATTTGAGGACAGGACATTTAGAGTGTGGGAAGCTAACCTGATCCCAAGATTTTGACGATCATTGATCGCACAAATAGTATTTCTCCTTGGTGTGACCTAACGACCTTGACCTGCAAATGTTGTGCGTGTTTATAAAGCGTTTGTAAAGTAACTCAAGGATGCAGAGTCGTCTGAGTTATGAAGAAAGCAACAACGTACCATCTCCTCATATAGTCCATCCACAAGTCGATCCACTCTAGCCTGGTGACGTATTAGGAAAGGTCGAAGGTGGTTGTTATAAACTTGTTTCGCTCCCTATCCAAGAAGGAAGCAAATTGATGATTACAGAGGGTTAATAAAGCTTCTTTGTATAGTTAAATGATGATAACAAAGAGATTGGAAAAGTACATCAATGGTGGGAAGTTGAAGCCAGACGAGGAACGCAAACTTTGCATGATAATATAGCGGAAACCTGTAAACCCCAGAGTTTATTGAATATGAATACTCTACTCATGATATCTTGATAATTGTATATAGTTTAGAGATGTGTACCAAGAAATGAGCTTGTCCGTGAACACTTCAACAAGGCTGAAAGAACCAAAAGCTGCAAAAAAGGTGGAAGGGAGAAGGAAAAAAAATAAATCAAATTGCCATGTGAAACAAAGCCGAGAGAGATAGTGACAAAGAGCATAAGAACAGTTGAAGAGATGAGGAAAAGAATTAAAAAAAAAGTCAGACACGATGATCTCAACCTGCCCAGTAAATAAGCCATTTTTGTTGTTCATTCTGATCTCTATTCTCAATGGCCTTGAAAGTGGAATACACAGGCAACCCAATGCCAATGGAACAGCTGCAGGAAACAGAGATTCAGACACATTTCTAGTAGCTATACCTTTTAATAGAGTAAAGAACCCAAAGACAACAAGAAAACAAAACTTCTATATTGATACAACAAACAAACAAACACACAAGATTCCCCCAATAAGGGATTGAAACCGTTGACCACTCGACAAAGCAGATCACACGAATTAGAGAATTTGCTTAATCAGATTCATAATCTCATTGATCACCAATCCTATCAAATCCTTACTCCAAACCATATTGGTATTACAATTAGATGGCTAATGCTATCAAGTATCTATCACCTTATAATAAGAAGTTGCTAATAAGAAGAAGAAAAAAAGAGTCACCATGCTGTACGAAGTACGATATTGGAACTAAGTGGTGAAAGCAGTACTCGTAATCCGACCTGAAATTTCCAATTGTTACAAAAACAAAAACAAAAACAAAAACAAAAACAGAATACATTAAATTAAAACAAGTATGAGAACTCTCCGGCAGTAATCTAAATTGACTTGACCAGCCAGTACAATCCATAAAGACCTAAATTTTTCGATGATCAGACAAAACCAGCAGGAAAGGTTACCGTAATTTTGACTTCGGACAAGGGAATACGATGAAAGGAACATAGTCAACTGAGTAATGATCAAGTTTTGTCATTGACACGAACAAAATCCTCAAAAAGACGGATCAGAAAGAATACCTCGTTGGTGAAGCCGGATCCGAGAAGCGCCATAGATGGAATCTGTGAAGCAAATCCGTTCATCGGAGATTTGTACGACGGTTTACCAGATTGACCACGAACTCAGTTTTACACACTCGTAAAAGGTTACTTTCCCCTGTTTCTGGATTGGGAATATTGAGTGATTTTGAAAGACTCTATCCCAGTCAGACACTCCCATATGAACTTTTTTTCCTTATTTAAAATAGAAACTTCCCTGTTACTTTTTTTTGTAAACTTCTCTGTTACTTTAAAAAAAAAAAAAAAATCTCTGTTACTTGAAGAAACGCCCGTTAATCAACTTCATTAGATGATTTGTACAATCTTGTAGTCTTTTGTCTACAACAACTCAAAGTTCACAATGTTTTTATTTTTTTGACATCAAGTTCACAATGTTTATCGCTGATATGTCTTGGTTATACATATATGGGGGAGGCATTTGTTTGAAATTTTTCACTACGTAGAACCAGCACGTGGACTGTTTATGAGGACCATGTAATCAATGTATGATATGATGCATCTGATATGTTTTTGAGATTTTTGACTTCGCACCTAGTTACCTCTTTGCTATGTTTTAAGGGGAATATATATGAAATATAATTAGTATGTTTTATAATTTTTTTTTTTTTTTTGTAACACATGTTTTATAATTTATAAACACTTTTCTGTTAACTTGTACACACATAGCTTCAGATAACAACTAAATATCATGGACTTAGCTCAATTTCAATGCCGATTACAGAATCTCATCGCCGAAAAAGTGATTAGAATGACAATCTAAATTCTAATGCAGTCCGTATAGTTGGTTGGCACTCACGAGTCACATGAATCTGAGTAACTTCTCAACCAGTAAGCTTATATAAGAGCATTCAAATGTTTGTCCCAAACAAATTTTACCACATGTTTACAACTATTAGAGCAGATAAGAGACCCATATGCGCATATGCCATCGTAAATTATGCATATCGCTGTATTTATTGGTAATTTTGTCATCTATCTTAGGGATATACAAAAGTTCAAACATCTTTAAAATATATCAACATACGCATTTATTCTTAGATAACGTTCGAATACATAAAAATTCTGTATTTTGGGAAGACGCCGTATTATCCAATACCATAGGGCTAACTGAAAAACATGTACAGCTTATGTTGACGACATCATAATAACATATGATCGCGCAACTATAAAAAGTTTTGAACATAAAATTGCTATCTTGTTAGGTGTCCAATGAATTGGAAAAACGATAAGAAAATTAGACAGGCGGGAACATCAAAAGCATTAAACGATAAATCGTATATGACACCACAGAAGTCATGCATGGTAACACAACTTCAATGACAAAAATTACAATTTCAACCCATGACATATAATTGGTCCTGCGATATAAACTATGCATCTCTTTTGTTATTATTTAATACATTATCACCAACGGTTCTTATCAGCCCAATATCTCCATGTATTTTAGCGGGTAATTTGAATTCCTATCACAGAACCATGCACTCAAGCACGTGTCCAGACAACTAAGACACGTAGTGATTGTGATCTCTTGAGTTCTCTCTCCCTCTCATCACCTCCCGTTCCTTATATTATAGTATGTGTAGACGCATAACATTGAATAACACATAAAGTAATAAAAATCACATAGAGATGATTAGGTTTACGGTATTTTCACTCTTTGTTCTACTCTTTCTCTTATTCGTTTGCACTGAGTCTTCGGCCAAGACTGCTAAGTATGATGAGTCTGATGACTCGGACGAAAACGACGTCGCCGCTGTACCGTCATGTTGTGGGTTTTCGTCGCCTCTTCTGATCAAGAAAGATCAATGGAAACCTGTCTTCGAGACAACGCTTGGGCTGATCTCAACCGTTCAAATAGGCGATGGATGCGGCGGGATGGGTCCTTACAAAATACATTCCATAACGCTGGAACCAAACGCGCTTTTGCTCCCTCTTCTTCTTCATTCCGACATGGTCTTCTTTGTCGACTCTGGTACATATCTAAACTGTTCCCGTGTCATGTATTTAGTCCAATTTTGTGTTGATAAGAAACGATTATCTTGCTCGGTTTGGTTAAGGTTCAGTAGAGCCGGTCTTGGGACATAAGCCAACCCGGGACATAGACAAATGATACATTGGTCTATGGTCTACAAAAGTTTTTAAAATAATTTAAATAGACATTAGATTCCTAAATTTGTGAAAAACAATTATTTAAAAAATAAAAAATAAATTGCTTATAATCCCCAAAATCCCAACACATACATACGGTTGTTATGGTTTGGTTAGCATTATGTTGAATCTGGATTTGTAATTGTATAGGAAGTGGGATTCTGAACTGGGTCGAGGAGGAAGCGACAAGTACTGAGATAAGACTAGGGGACGTTTACAGGCTACGTCCCGGTACAGTTTTCTACTTACAAAGCAAACCGGTTGATGTCTTCCTTGGAACCAAACTTAGGGTTTACGCAATCTTCTCCAACACCGAGGAATGTTTACATGTAAGATATGTCTCTTTTATATATGTTCTTGGTATATATATATATTTATATATCTTCTTATTTGTGGAGTTTTATATATATATGGATGCAGGATCCTTGCTTTGGTGCGTATTCAAGTATCACAGATCTCTTGTTTGGTTTTGATGAGACAATTCTCCAGTCAGCTTTTGGGGTATGTATTAGGGATGATACTTGTGGTGCAAGATAGGAATATATGTATACCTTGCTACTCATGTTAATCAAATAGATGTTATTTTTGGTTGTGATAAGTGTGATTAATTAACTATATTCGTTTTTTATTAGGTTCCTGAGGAGATTATAGGGCTGATGAGGAACCGTACACAGCCACCATTGATAGTGCAAGATAGTCTGAGCACACCTGGTGAGGCAGCCAACACCAACACCAATACATGGCAGCTCCAGACGCGATTACTCAAACTATTTTCGGGAGATGTGGAGAACAAGAAGAAGGAAAAGAAGGAGAAGAAAAAGAAGAAGAAGACAAAGAACGCAAAGACATTCAACGTATTCGAATCCGAACCAGATTTCCAAAGCCCTAACGGACGTACCATAACTATAAACAGGAATGATCTTAAAGTATTAAAAGGCTCGATGGTTGGAGTTTCCATGGTTAACCTAACTCAAGGATCAATGATGGGACCACACTGGAACCCATGGGCTTGCGAGATATCCGTTGTCGTGAGAGGATCAGGAATGGTTAGAGTCCTTAGGAACTCCATTTCAAGATCATCATCTGAGTGTAAGAACATGAGGTTTAAGGTAGAGGAAGGAGATATTTTCGCGGTTCCACGGTTACATCCAATGGCTGAAATGTCTTTCCTTAGTGACTCGTTGGTGTTCGTTGGGTTTACTACTTCGGCTAGGAATAATGAGCCGCAGTTTTTGGCTGGGAGGAGCTCGCCTTTGTGGTCGCTTGATAGGGAGGTGTTGGCTGCGTCGTTTAATGTGAGTGATTTTATGATTGAGGGATTGTTGGGAGCTCAGAAGGAAGCGGTTGTGTTGGGATGTCCTTATTGTGCGGAAGGAGAGTTTGAGAAGCTTAAAGGTGAAGAAGAGAAGAAGCCGTGGCCGCCTGAGCAACCGCCACAACCGTTCCAGCCGCAGCCACCGCAAGAAGAACCACAGCAGCCACCGCAACCGTTCCAACCGCAGCCACCACAAGAAACACCACAACCATTCCAACCGCAGCCAGGGCAAGAGGAACCACAAGAACCGCAAGCATCAAGGGAGGCGAAGATGAGAGATGAGGAGAGGAAGAGAGAAGAAGAAGAGGCGAAGAGGGAAGAGGAAGAGAGATGGGAACAAGAAGAGAAGTTGTGGCCGCCTCAGACTCAGTGGCAAGACGGAGAAGGAGGAGAAAACGCTTAGAGAATCTTTACGTTAAGAGTGTTTGGGTTGTTGTATATGGTCGAATGTTTGTTCTTGATGTCTCCTGTTTTTTTTCTTTTTCTGTATTATTTGTTAACGTATTTTGTATTTGCTTTCTTCTTTTTGTTTCAGTGTCTACGTTTATGTACTGTGTTTTGTTTTATTATTATGTTTTGTGTATGCGGAAGGTTAATAATAAAATTGGTAAGAGCGACCATGTTTGCTTCTAGTGTTTGATTAAATCTTTGGTTAAGTTACTTGTTACAGGAAAAAGAAAAACACTACTTGTTATCATCTTTGGTTAAGTTACTTGTTACAGGAAAAAGAAAAACATTACTTGTTTTTTTTTAACAACATGAATACTTTATTCAATCATAACGTAAATGGATAATACAAATAGTCAATTAACCAAACAGGAGGTAAATGATAAACTTGATACATAACATCATCCTCTAATCCCTTTCTTGCTATGACATCTGCAGCCTGATTCTTCTCTCTGTTAACGTGATCAATCGAACTCGCTGGGAGCAATCTCATCCAGTGATGGATATCAAACATCACATTACCCAAATCGATATGCTAAGATTTGTTGTTTATCACTCTAGTCAATTCCAGATTATCACTTTCAAACCAGTCTCCATCCTTTAATCCACATGCTTTGTAAAGCAAAGAGGAAACCATATGCCTCTGCAACAAAAGCATTTTTAATCTCCCGAGTATTAATCTTCATGGATGCAGCTCCTAAATACTTCCCTTTATCATCCCGAAGAATCCAAGCCACTGCAGAAAATTCTCTATTCATAGAATAATTCGCATCAAAATTACACTTAACCCAATGAGCAGGTGGTGGTTCCCAGTTTGAAATCCGAGAAATTCTAGTATTAAAACGTCTCTTCGTTAAACTCCTTGAAGCATTCCATTCTGCCCTAGCTAAAATTGCTCTATTAGCATCATCACTTGGTTGAGCATTCCTCTTACTAAAAAGAAATTCATTTCTAGACTTCCAAATAAACCACAAATTCCAAAAAAGAATGAGACCATGATCGTGAATATCACCAATATCCTTGACAAATTGAAACATCACGAAAAAATTCTCCTCCAATTCCTCTGTAAAAAGGCTATATATTGGAATATTAGAACACCTCCATGTAGCTTCCGCATAAGGACATTTGAATAAAGCATGATTTATTGTCTCTTCTTCCACACAACACCGTTGACACGTTGGATCTATATTTATTCCACAAGAATACAACTGAACAAAAGTTGCAAGAGCACCTGATAAACACCTCAAAAGAAAATGCTTTAACTTCGGTAAAATATCCAGTTTCCAGACTTGAGATTTTAAATTCAAAGAACCTGAAGGGGGAACAATAGGATCATCATCCAACAAATCATGAGTAATAGCCCAGTATCCCGACTTCACTGAGTAAGCCATATTCTTTGTATACGGCCACACATAGCAATCCTGGATCGCAAATTCAGACAACTTGATACTCTGAATCATACGACTTTGCTCATGAGTAAACATCAAATCCAACAGAGGAACATTCCAAGTCTTCTTGTCCTCCATTATTAGTTCAGCAACTTTCATATGAGGATTAGTGGTCGGGTACTGAAGATGACATGGTGGTAAGCTTGGAATCCATTTGTCAGACCAAACATTAGTTGAACAACCATTAGCAATAAGGGTACGCAGTCCCTTTTGCAACAACTCTTTACCAACCTGAATATATTTCCATCCATAGGAGGCTTGAGTTATATTCGACGACTGTAAGAATGTCGACGAATGAAAGTATCTTCCCCTATATAACCGATATAGAAGAGAAGAAGTATTATTAACCAATCTTCAAGCTTGTTTTGCAAGAAGAGCTTTATTAAAAGCATGAAGATCCCTGAAGCCCATTCCTCCTTCTTTCTTTGGTAAACAAAGACGTTTCCACGCCACCCACGATATCTTTCTCTTATCTTCAGACTTACCCCACCAAAATTCAGACAAAATAGAATTTATTTCATCATAAGTAGTTTTGGGAAGAAGAAAACAAGACATAGAATATACTAGCTTCGACTGGAGTACCGATTTTATTAATACCTCCTTTCCTGCTGGTGTAAGAAACTGATTAAACCAAGGAGATACCTGAGCTTTGACTTGATCAACCACCCCTTGAAAATCATTCACCTTACTGCTACTGAGTTGTTCAGGAAGTCCCAAATATTTGCCTCCACCTCCAATCTTGTAAATGTTAAGAATTTGTTGAATCCTGTGACGTTGGTGATCTTGAATTTTATCCCCAAAAATAATCGAGGATTTTGTAAGATTAACTTTCTGACCAGATATTTTTTCGTAACACTCCAGGATCCAAGCCATACACCTAACATTATTTTCATCAGCTTTGACAAAAAATAAAGAGTCATCCACGAACAACAGGTGGGATATGGTTGGACAATGTCTAGCTAGTTTCATGCCCTGAAATTCGTGAAGATCTTGAGCTCTGTCCAACATTTTACTCAATGCCTCAGCACACAGCAAAAACAAGTAGGGAGATAGAGAATAACCTTGTCTTATACCTCTTGAAGGCTGAAAATGACCATAGGGAGTACCATTTATTAACACCGAAAAAGAAACAGAGGTGATACAAGCCATAATCAGTTGAATCCATTTATGATCAAATCCAAGCAACTCCATGATATCCTTTAAGAACCCCCACTCGGCCACTCCACCCTATCATAAGCTTTGCTTATGTCAGTTTTAACAGCCATGTATTTCGTGGAACAATCCTTTTTAGTCTTGAGAGCATGTATCAATTCATGAACTACCAAGATGTTATCATGTATCTGTCTATCTGGAACAAACGCTGCTTGAGATTCTGAAATAACTTCCCCCAGACATCCTTGCATCCGAAGACATAAGAATTTTGAAATGATTTTGTATGCCACCGTACATAAACTGATCGGGCGATAATCACTCATACTTTTGCTTCAGTAATCTTCGGGATTAAACATATATTAGTATGATTGACCTTAGGGTCCATTACACCCGTTTCAAAAAATCGACAAACCATTGAACAAACATCAGGGCCAATGACATTCCAAAACTGTTGATAGAAAGCAGCCGTAAAGCCATCAGGTCCCGGAGCACGATCAGAACCAATCTGAGATAAAGCTTCAAACACCTCATCATCTGTAACTGGCCGAGTAAGCCAAGTATTCATCTCAGCTGTTACTTTTGTCTCAATAGTAGGAAGATAATTTCCTATGGGAGTCGTTGAGGTAGAAGTAAACATATCTGAAAAATACTCCTCTGCTATCTTACCTATCGTTTCATCCTTTACATGCAACATTCCATGTTTATCTTGCATATGCTTGATTTTATTCTGATTTTTCTTCATCTTTGTAAGGCCATGATAGAATCTCATATTACGATCACCAAGGTTCAGCCATTTATTTCTACTCTTTAATCTCCAAAACTCTTCCTCATCTTAGTATGCTTTGTTTAAATCACATCGCAGCTGATGGATGTATTCAATTGTAGCAGAGCTGTCGCAGATAGCTTGATCCAAAAGAGAACGTGTTTCCTTGATTCTCACAGAAGCATTAGTAACATGTTGACGCTTCCAACCAATCATAACCCCACGACAGTGATCCAACTTTCGCATCCAACCATCAAAACATCGCGAATCTTGCCAAGCCTCTGTTACTGTATTCACAAAACTATCTTGATCATATAATCTTTTATCATAACAAAACCAACCTTTCCTAGTTGTCTGTTGATAAGCAATCGAGATGATCATAGGCCTATGATCAGATTCTGCTATTTCTAAATATTCTGTTTCTGAAAAAGGATATTGATGCAACCATTCAGAATTAACAAGAACCCTGTCCAAGCAACATTCAATGATCTCTCTTCGTCTTCTACCAACCCAACTAAATGGATTACCTTTAGATTTTAAATCCTTCATATCACAGACGTTAAGCATAGTGTTAAAATCTCTGGAACTATTAAATGTCCTTGAACGTCCTCCCTTCTTCTCGCTTGGATGTGTTATCTCATTGCAATCACCACATATCATCCATGGACCCATTCTCGAGACAGCTAATCTCTGTAAACGTTCCCATAAGTGATGTCTATATTGAGGGTTTGGGTGACCATAAATACAAGAGAGATAAAACTTAAAAGCTTTATATTCCACATGAAGATCAACAAGACGTACATCACTTGAAATACATGAAACTGAAACATAGTTTTTCCATAAAACAGCTAAACCACCACCTAAACTTTGAGGAGGAACTAAGACCATCTGCTCATAACCCAAATAAACAGCAATATCACGGACATAGTCATTCTGATTCTTTATTTCAATGAGGAACAACAAATCTGGGAGATACAACCTTTGTAACTCCTTAAGACGTCGAACTGTCATGCGTTGCCCCAAACCTCGACAGTTCCACACCTCCACTCTCATGGGACCTCTGGTGGTATCGGGCCCACCGCGCCTCTGTCTATTGTACCTTCATTCAAGAGTTCCTGATCATCAGCATAGCTGGGCATTTTATCCGTTATATTTGATTCGATCCGTTATTTGTTTCGATTCGATCCGAAAATTACAGATATCCGTAAACTTTCGAATCAAAGCAAATACTAAAGTTCAATATCCGTTAAAATCGTAGCAGATCACAAATATTAAAATTTTGGAAAGCGGATATCCGATCCGATCCGTAAATATATAAATATATGTATATTTTGATTATATTTAAAATTTAATTTGTATAAAATTATATAATTATTATTCTAGCACATGATTATGAACAATTCTATTTCAAATTACTACTTATATAAAAGTATTTCATAAAAAGAGATAATTTTTTTTTGACAATTATATTTTTTTCTTAAAATTTGTATTATTATAATTGTAACTTAAACTTTAAAAAATTACAAAATCTATAAATTCACTAGTTCTTTTAAGTTTTATTTTATATATCATGCAAAAAAATATTTTTGCAAAGCAAATTTGTATCAAAATCTTAAGGTTATTTGTACTAATCAAAACGGATGAGATATCCGTAAATATTCGTAAATATCCGCAAATATCTATTTATTTTCCGGATATCCATTTTTCCGGATATCCATTTTTCCGGATATCCGTATTTTTTCGAAGCAAAGCAAATACCAAAATTAGATATCCGTAACATTCGAATCAAATCAAAAATACCTTAAAAAATCCGGATATCCGATCCGTGCCCACCCCTAAGCATAGTCTGCTTGAATCTTCTTCAAACCATTCCATTCACCAGACAAACGCATCCTCCCCACTGGAAACTTATCCACCGTTTCTGCATCATCACGGATTCTTTTTCCTGATGAACTTCCTTCACCAAGACATTCCAAAGTCGCAGGTATTTCATCATACCTTGTTTCCTCCACACAAGCAGCCAAAGTAGTTTTCTTACACGCACCAAGTTGTTCGTCCAAAAGAAAAGACCCATACTGACCCCCTCGAAAGTCTGAACTCCATCTTTCCTCCATTTCAAGAATGATATGATCTTCATCTTCCTCAGACACAGCTGCTCCTTTTTCCTTTTCCGTTTCACTCAACGATCCCCCAATACCAGAGAACTTCCTCTTTCTAGCCATACTTCCAGGCCCAAACGTGGAAACAAATTGATCCTTATCCAGATCCATGGGTGGTTGAGAGCAGAGTTGTTGCAGAAGAGCCAAGTTCGAACCCACATGATGACCACCTGATGCTTCAATAACCGGCCCTGGCGGAGCGATATCTCCTAAAACACCAGTATGAGGTTGAATTGCAGCTTCATCACCGCCTTCCTCAGGCATGTCTTCATCATCATCTTGATCATCATCATTGGCATCACCACCAGCATTCTCTATCGGATCGGTCGTTTTATCACTCTCATTTTCTTTTTAATTTCTTTATACGTCAAACGGTTATTCTATTACTTATTTTCTTATAAACATTTTTTATGTTATTAATTTTTTTTAAATTATTGTTATTTTTTTAACATGCTTATTATGCAATTACTGAAAAATATACTTATTGTCTAACAAAATACTATATAACTAAATTACGAATACTATAAATTCACGTTTGACCAAAATTATTTTGATTCGCTTTATGATATTCAGTATTTTTTACAGTATATTAACAAAAAAAAAATTCAATATTCTATATAATTCGTCTTTTTAGAAATTGAAATCCAAATTTTGTGGTATAAAATTATTAATAAATTATTAGTCAAATTATTTCCAATTTTAATTTCCACTATTTTAAATTGTTTATGAACCGGTTTACTCAAAACTAAATTTATGAACTCGAACATACATGGATTGGGCCGAAATAAAGACTCGGATCGGACTGACTGGTTTGGGTTCGGACAGGGCCGCATTTCCTTTTTTCGCAAAGTAAATGTCGTGGCTGACGTGTCGGAATCCTTAATAAGACCGACCAAACAAGACATTGACGAAACTACCCTCTCCATTTCTCCCCGTCTTTATTTAATAACAGAACAACCGAAATTTGCCCTAAGGATTTTAGTTTTCTTCTATCATCCATATATCTCGACGGCAGAAACAAAGAGGAAACTTATCTTAAACCCTATCTCCGGTTAAAGCGTGCGTTACTACTTCACATCAAACAGATATGTCTGACTTCGAAGATCACGAGGGAAACGGCACAGCTGTTGACAACCTTGAGGCCGCTGATAACGGTGGTGGCCGCGGCGGCGAAATCGAGGATCAGTCAGACTCCAAATCTCAGGTACTTTGTGCTCTTTGATTACTCTACAACCTTGCATCTTCGATATTCTATAATGGATTTGATTATTAGAGATTCAAATCTATGTTTCTTAGCTTCTAATAAATAATCGATTTTTAGGGTTTAGAGCTTATTCGTTATGTCTAGAGTTTGTTTATAGGGTTTAGAGCTTATTTGTTTATCTACTTGCTTGAATATACGATTGTTGATTTAGGGTTTTGGAGTTTATTCGTTATGTGTAGAGATTTTTTTTTAGTTTGATTGATTCATAAATTTTTGAGTGACGATGATTTTTGTGTAGAGAGAAACGCGTGACAATGAAAGAGAGTCTTCAAGAAGTAAAGATAGAGAAAGAGAGAAGAGTCGTGATAAGGACTCTGAACGAAGCAGAGACAGAGATGTTGACAGAAGAGACAGAGACAAGGACAGGGATCGTGAGCGTCATCACAGAAGTAGTCGTCACAGGGATCGTAGTAGAGACCGTGGTGATAGAAGAGAACGTGGTAGTAGAGACCGTGATGATGACTACCGCAGAAGCCGTGACCGTGATTACGATAGGTGATTACCATATCTTTACAATTTATATGGTATCCTTTTTTATACTAATGTGGTGTTTTTAAAAAAAAAAAACTTTTAGGCGTAGAGATGACAGAGGAGATAGACGCCGTCATAGGTCTCGTTCTCGTTCCAAGGATAGATCTAGGCGCAGATCAAGGTCTCGATCTCCCTCAAAAAGGTAGCTTATCTTTCTGGCTCTAACTACTAGTTTGTGAAATGTTTTTTTTTTTTTTTATCTAAGAAACTTTCTTATATCAATCTATGTTCTTGCAGCAAGCGGGTCAGTGGATTCGATATGGCACCTCCAGCCTCTGCAATGTTAGCTGCTGGTGCTGCTGTTACAGGTATCCTTTTTGTCTCTTCTCATTAGCATAATGCAGAGTTCATTCCCACAATAGAACCTGCGAAATACATAGGCTACTCTCTTGTGTTTGTTGTTTTGTACATGGGATAAAACGTTAGAACTAAGAGCTTTTGGTTGTTTGTGTTTCTTTTTTTCTCTTTTCTATTTTGGTAAGGTGTGGGCTGGTTAGCTTCTATTTACAAGGCGGAATTGCTACAATTGTTTTATGGGTACTGCTAATCCTCAGTACTTATCGCTGGTTTTGTTCGCAAATGATTTCTTGTGAAAGTATTATATCGTCGTCATATCGTCTTTGCTTTCTCAGGGAGGGTAAAATAGGTCTTCTTATATTTATTCTTCTCATGCTCTTTCTCATTTTGTAGGCCAAGTTCCTCCTCCACCACCAACTCTTCCCGCGGCTGGAATGTTTAACAGCGTATTTCCCTTACAGACTGGACAGGTCCGTGATCTTTACCCTTTTAAAATTATGTATTGAGTTCTTTCTTAAACTAAATACTCTGTATGTCCTGCAGACATTTGGGGGACTCCCTATGATGCCAATTCAGGCTATGACACAGCAGGTTAGCTTTGGTTTTCGTGTATACGTTATATATGCGATTTGTTTATAATTATCTGTTTCTAACCATGTCTTCTTGCTTAATTTTTGTGACTTCAGGCGACTAGGCATGCTCGCAGAGTCTACGTTGGTGGGCTTTCCCCTGTGGCAAATGAACAGGTTAATATCCACTTTTTTTTTCACTTAGATATATGTTCCAGCATTTGCTTGATACTGACATTGATTTACTTTCGTGTATTACAGTCTGTGGCTACATTCTTTAGTCAAGTTATGGCTGCTGTTGGGGGAAACACTGCTGGCCCAGGTGATGCCGTTGTTAATGTTTACATAAACCACGAGAAGAAGTTTGCTTTTGTGGAGATGCGATCTGTTGAAGAGGCTAGTAACGCCATGTCCTTGGACGGGATTATATTTGAGGTACGATTTTAATATTCACCCTTCTACTAAAGTATTTGGTTGTTGTTTAGGTGCTGGAGGTATGTGAATCATATTTTTTTTATCTTTCCCAGGGAGCTCCAGTGAAGGTGAGGAGACCTAGTGACTATAACCCATCTCTAGCTGCACCTCTTGGCCCAAGCCAGCCCAGTCCCCATCTAAACTTAGCTGCTGTTGGTCTGACTCCAGGTGCTTCTGGTGGTCTCGAAGGTCCAGACCGTATCTTTGTTGGTGGACTTCCATATTACTTCACCGAGCCACAAGTCAGGGAGCTGTTGGAAAGCTTTGGAGCCCTAAAAGGGTTTGATCTTGTAAAAGATCGAGAAACTGGAAACTCTAAAGGATACGCCTTTTGTGTGTACCAAGATGTTGGTGTTACAGATATTGCGTGCATGGCTCTAAATGGTATAAAATTGGGTGACAAGACTCTCACTGTGAGACGTGCTAATCAGGGAGCAATGCAACCGAAAGAACAGGAGAGTGTATTGTTGCAAGCACAGCAACAAATTGCTAATCAGGTAAGCTCTTTCCGTGTCAACAGATTGAGTTATGTCTCTTTGTGGTTTATCAATTGAAAGGCTTGTGTTTTTTTTTTCTCTTCTTTCAGGTGAATATGTTCCAGCCAGGTCCGGCGGCAACAACAGTTGTATGTTTGACTCAAGTTGTTACTGAGGATGAGCTTAAAGATGATGAGGAATTTGAAGATATAATGGAAGACATGAGACAAGAAGGCGGAAAGTTTGGTAAGAGATTTATATTTTATTGCATTTTATCATTATCCATTTTGGAGATATAAAGATTTTTAAAAAAGCATATTGATTTATCTCTCTGTTTTCTTTGGTTGTATATGTCTGTTTTACAGCCTTATGCTATAAAGAATCAGCTCCTAACATACTGAGACTGGAGACTGCATAAACCCCTATCTAATTTTTCTATTCATAAATGGCTACTCTTCTTAGAAGAAAAACAACTAACGTTTCTTGTCTCTGTGTTTTCTTGTCCTGTGTATTTGGAATGTTTGTTGTTTAACTCTTAAAATGCAGGTTCGTTGACCAGCGTTGTGATTCCGCGTCCCAGCTCCAGCGGTGAGCCAGTGCCAGGCCTTGGCAAGGTTTGTACTCAAAACCTTAACTTTCTCTCTTGTAAATTTTGCGATTTTGTGGGGATCTCAGTGTTTTGATATTAATCTTACATGGATGCAGGTTTTCTTGAAGTATGCTGATACAGATGGTTCGTCGAGGGCAAGAAACGGGATGAATGGTAGGAAGTTTGGAGGGAACGAAGTGGTTGCTGTGTTTTACCCAGAAGACAAGTTTGATCAGGGAGAGTACGGAGCCTGATGCTCACATCCTTGTTTGTTTACCTTTTAAGTATTTTGCTTTAGTTGAAGACACTCTCTTGTGTGATTTTAAGACCAATATATGGTTTTGATACATTTTGTTTGCTATAAAACTCTTGGATCTTACCAATCAAGTCTTTCTTTTGTTCTCTTTCGGACACGTTCTTCAGAAACATCTATTATCCAGAAGAACGTTCAATCACTAATGGTTACTAAAATTTCATTAATAGTTGCCAAAAAATAGAAATTTATTAATATCTTCACACGATAAAGAGATGGAGTTGGAGAAATGGACATAAAATTAGTAAACAAAGATTTTTTTTTATATTTGCTAAAAAAAAATCATTAGTTATGCAGTTATTCATATTTCGTAATTTAGCCAATAATAAAATAAATGACATATTAAGTATAATAATAATTGTTAATAAAACTTATTTTAAATTGAAAATATCCTCAAAGAAATTCTTTAAAACGTCAGATATGAAATCTACCAGTTATCAAAATTAATATATATAAACATGATATAATATTTTAAAAATTGGCATAAATTTTGTGTAAAATTATTAGTTATTATAATACTAATACATAAGTAAATCGCCACATAACACTTTGTAACGTAAATGTAATTCCATTGTAAAATCGGCTAATGATTCAGTTAATTGTTGACAAAAACAAACAGTTTAATTAATTATAATAAAATAATGATTCAATATTAGAAAAATATTTGCAAAAAATCTTAAACCCTAAAGCTCCTCCTTTTCTCCCTTCCCCTCTCCACATTTCCTCACCTCCTCTGCAAAATGGCTGCATCTCGTCTCTCCCTCCGCCACCTCCGCCGCTTCACCACAGATTCCACCACAACCACATTAACAACCCCCAAGATCTCCGCCTCCAAAGCCAAAAGCATCCTCCGCAAACAACACGACCCGGACAAAGCCCTCGAGATCTACTCCAACGTCTCCAACCACTCCTCCTCCCCCGTCTCCTCCCGCTACGCCCAAGAGCTCACCGTCCGCCGCCTCGCGAAATGCAACCGATTCTCCGACATCGAATCCCTAATCGAGTCTCACAAAGACGACCCACGAATAAAGGAGGAGCCTTTCTACTCCACACTCATCAGATCTTACGGCCGTGCATCCATGTTAGATCACGCCGTCAAGGCTTTCGAGGAGATGGGTTTGTACGAGACGCCGAGAACAGCTGTTTCGTTTAACGCTTTGTTAACGGCTTGTCTTAATTCCGGGAAGTTTGAGAGAGTCCCCCAACTGTTCGACGAAATGCCTCAGAGGTTTAGTTCCATTATCCCCGATAGAGTTTCTTACGGGATATTGATTAAATCTTATTGTGATTCTGGGTCGCCTGAGAAGGGTATTGAGATTATGAGAGAGATGGAAGGTAAAAGAAACATGGAGGTTACTACAATTGCTTTCACTATTATCTTAGGCTCTTTGTATAAGAATGGGAAAGTTGAGTTAGCTGAGGGGTTGTGGAACGAGATGGTGAAGAAAGGCATTGAGATTGATAGTGCGGCTTACAATGTTCGTTTAATGAGTGCTCAGAAGGAAGGGCCTGAGAAAGTTTGGGAGTTGATTGAGGAGATGAGTGTTAAGGGCGTGAAGCCTGATACGATTAGTTACAATTATCTTATGACGGCGTATTGTGAGAAGGGGATGTTGGATGAGGCTAAGAAAGTGTTTGAAGGGCTTAAGAGGAATAGGTTGGCTCCTAACGCGGCGACGTTTAGGACGTTGGTGTTTCATTTGTGTGACAGTGGGTTGTATGAGCAAGGGTATGCGATTTTTAAGAAGAGTGTGGGTATGAATAAGATTCCGGATTTTAATACTTTGCAGCATTTGGTTGTTGGGTTGGTGAGGAACAAGAAGGTGAATGATGCTAAAGGGTTGATTAGGACGGTGAAGAAGAAGTTTCCTCCGAGTTTTTTGAATGCGTGGAAGAAACTTGAGGAGGAATTAGGTCTGGATACCAAAACCGATGCTTCTTCAACTCCTGCTTAGTAAAGCTCATGAGTGTTGCAATTGAAGATCTGATTCTTTTGCTTGAGCTTTTTTTTTACTTATAACTTGTTCTCATGCATTTTTACTTTCCTCATAAAGTAGCTTGTGAAAGCTTGAAGTTTTTGTTGGTGGAATCTATTGAGCTTCATAGAGTTAAATGTTGTTATGTTCTATACACTTTGTGCTTCGTGATGAATTCAATTTCTTTTGTTTTATGTTCTGTATATACATACAAAGCCTCGGGTTATCGACGGAGAGTAATCAAATTCAGCATTTGACATGATTACTTTAGGTATCATACGAATTGTACTATTATATTTCTATGTTTTCTGCATGATTAATAATACACATGATGTCTTTGTTTCACACTAATAAGTCCAATATGAACTTTATACATGCATGATTCACCGGGCCAATACATTGTCTTGTCTTTATATTTTGATAATTCATTCGTTAGCTGGCAGTATCACACAAGGCTATGACATCGAACATGATATATTATAAACTAAATGGGTCCAACATTGAAGAAAATGTTATTAACAATACACAAAGGCCAAAACAGCTACTTTCTAAGATTTCTTGTCCTCAACGTTTCTTAGTTTTTAGTATATTTCAAACAAAGTATTGTTTTCAAGATCAAATCAAATTTGATTCTCAGGATATTTATTAGAAAAAATCGTACACATTTAACTTTTAGTTCACAATTGTTTTTTTTTTCTGTGGATATGTACTGCTTTTGTCGCAAGATGTAGGTAAGGTGTCGTTGCATAGATTGTTGTGGTGTGGACAAATAAACTATTTGTTGGGTTATAAACTAGCTATAGTTCATTATATGTAATGAATTGTCTTGAGCTTTATTAACCTGGAGGTGAAGACGCATGTACTTTTAATTCAACTAACTGTATACGATAGTTGTTAAAGCACGTAGCCTACTGGTTAATATTTAAAGGTTTCTCCATTCAGGTTTGGTTTTGAATCCCAAACTATACAATATCTTACATATTATAGGAAATCCAGGTTTAGTCTCGGAAAAAAGCTATTCATTAATGCAGACTACAGAAGATAGTAAGATACATATATACGTATGAATTATAAAGCTTTTTTTTATGTTGCCTAAAATTTATTTTATTGTCTGGAATAGTGTGGTCGGGTAAGTAAGTGAATTATCTGGAATAGTGTGATCGGGTAACGGGGTAAGTAAGTGAAGGGTTTGGGATGCTAACACGTTTTAAATTTAATCCACCTGAAAAATGGTTTATATGTGGGATGAATTCCTGTTAAAGATTAATCTACGTTTTTTCCATATGTACCAGATATTAGATTAATAAAAAACTTTTTTTTATTACATGTATATATGGAAAAAGAAGATTATTATTTAAAGGTTCGTTTTATCATGCAACCTCCGATCAATTAAGGTAAGCCGAAAAAAAGGAAAATTAAGGTAAGCCAAGTGTTATAATGATCGATGAGTTTTGCTTTTTCGAGGGTTCGTCTTACTACTAATTTAGGTTAATTATGGAAAAAAACTCACATGGTTATTTGTCTAAATTAGTATCCTGTTAAACAGCATGAACTATATGCCAACTTTAACTCGCATGTATTGGAAAAATAAATACGGAAACCTATGAATAATTAACATGACATTTTAACCACAAACTAAGATGATATGATATTAATTAACATTTTAAAGATAAGCCCTTTGTCAAAACAAAAAAAACATTTTAAAGGTATACTATTGCTTACCCAATTACGTGCTATGTTTTTCCTATTTACATAATTAAGCAAACATGTTTGGCTTTTTCCCATGGTTCAAAGTCTAATCAATCGAACCCCTTTAGATTTA